GAAGTAAATATGAATATGACTACATAAACACTGTAAATGTGCAATGAAAAAAATGCTGCATGGTCAATGGGGCTACAAATCTGGAGCACATGTGTTAGTACTTTCCTTGAGGGTGGAGTGAATGTTTACGTAATTTCCTGTTTGCCCTTTGCATTTAAAAAATATATTTCAGGACCCTGTATTTAAAGGATTATTTTTAATCCTTGGTGGCTACCTCAGTGTCTAACTGAATAATGCTGGATGGACTGAACAGTTAAATGCTGAAAAACATCAAGAAATCAAACTCAACATGGTCCTTTCAACAAGCATGTATTTATAGATTTGTAATAATTATTAATAATTTAGATGAGAGGTCTCGTGTAGAGAATATTTTCTTAAACATTTTGGATTATTCTAGATCCAAAAAGCAGGAAAGTTATAATAGTTTTAATGTTTGTTTTTGCATGCTGTAATGTTTCACACTATTTATTCATATGCTATGTTCGTATTACTAAACAACTAGGCTCTACTATTGTTCAAACTAAAGCAGATTTACATTTGAAGTATGTTGCATGTACTGTTTTGCATGAGGCAGTGGGAAAACTAGTGCATGGTCTCAGTGGGGATAGAAAGTCATGGGAAAGCAGAGCTAGAGAGAGCAGGATTTACCCAGTCACCATGTTTACCCTTCCAGCCAGACACTCGCGTCAGGAATCTCAAACAATGGCAGAGCTCCAGCCAGAACACTGTGCACCGGGGAGGGGGAAAACACTCCTCTCCACTGCTTCTTAACCCTGAAAACAGATCACAAGAAATGTAACATTACTAACACAAGCCCTAATGTCCCAATATGAATCACTAGACATAAATCGCTAACTATTTCAGTTGATTTTCACTTTATTTGATCAAAGTTATGACATACATTATCTCTCACTACCAATGTCAGAAATGATTGAGAGTGATTTCTTCATGTTTTAAAGTTGATTTCAGTGTTTTGAACTTTCAATATTACAGCTACACATTCAACATCACTCTCCTGTTAATGCAGATTTAAATACAGAAGTCCACCATAGACCTGGAATAAAAAGTAATAAAATATATTGAATGTTAGATGTCAGATTTAAAAAGGGATTGTTGATGCTCATTTTAAATATCAGGGTTTTTCCTGTCTCTTTTTATGGCATTTTTGCCCTGTGTCCTTTTTAATTTGGAACTTGCTCACTACTCTTTAAACAACCTGTGCTCAGATGATACTACATAAAATAAAGCCTATATTATACACTTGACATAAACTTAAAATATGAGCATGCCTTTTAAAGAAATACTGTCGACAGAAGCAAGTGATTTCTTAAAAAAAAAAAAATCTCCATACTCCATACTCCATACAACTTTTATTAAAACATCAGATATTTATAAAAATATTTTTCCACTTAGATCTGCCAATGTTTATAGTAAATATATGATATTATATCAGAATTGATGCACATTGAGTGACAGGAAGAGCACTCCAGCATTGGTGAATACCGCAGAACATGTTGAACAGATTAATACAAAATAATTTGTTAATTTAGTCTGCATAAACCTTTTTTTCCCCAGTTGATTGTAATAATAAACACTCTGTTTGAGAGATGAGCTGAACTCACTCTCCCACAGTGCCCAAACAGCTGGTGAGGTCCATATCTTTTTATTTGTTGGGCTAACCATCTTAAAATGAAAATGTTTCGTTAAACTCAACTAATGAGAGCTGTTGATACTCTGGTGTGATTTCATAGTCATGGATTGTGGGAAGATATTCCTTTAAAAATGCAAATATATGAACTGTATCGTTTTCAGCCGCCAATTTTTGCATGCATGGGAAGCGTGTCGCCCTCTAATGGACATTTTATTATCTCAATATATTCACATTTACAAATAATTATTTATAAAAAGTCTAATGCAGTTCTGTGGAATTACGTGTGTAAACACTAGAAAAATCACTGTTACAAATTTTCTGTCAACCAAATATAGGTAAATCTCAAGAAGCCTCCCAATAAATATTAGGAACACTCACCAAAAATTTAAATAAATTAATGAATTAATTAAAATAAAATAAATATAATTTTTCATAATGAAAATTATGTCTACGTGTAGGGCCATTATGATATTCTGAAATGTTACATTATTTTTAAGACATTCATTAACCCAGTTGTCATTACTATCCAGATATCCTGTCCAGACATTCATTTTACTCTACGCTACCCATTTTCTACGATACGTCTTTCCTACTAATGCTAATGTGGGACACCTAAGCTTCAGTGCATTTATCTCTTCTTTTACAACATTAAAGTGAACATGATTGTTGAATTCAAGCAGGGTTGTCAAGTTATTGAAATAATTGGACTTTGTGGAAATTTTGTCATAAATGTGGCCATGAAAATCATCAAAGTACCTCTTGTGAAGTTCACTCAAAGGTCAGTGACATAGCCAAAATTAATGTTAAGGATATAAATCTGTTATAAATAAAACAATGTTTTAAATTGTTATCAGATCATATTTGTGGTGTATTTGAACGTCAAATGTAGCAATAATATTGTTCAAATGTGTTAAGAATATTTTCTATTTGAAGTCATCTTTGTCGTCCCATTTTAGAAAAGGACTTTTCAAAACTGGGACAGTGTTTTGACTATTGTGGGACAGACAATATACTATGTTATTAAATTGATCAAATGTGCATTAAGAAAGTTAAATGACATACATGTATTTTTGTTACATTTTTGGGCTTATAATGCAGCGATATTATTTCTTTTAAGATCCAGATTCAAAATTTAGAGACTAGAGGACAATGAGATCCTGGACCATGATGAGACCATGACTGGCCAGGACTGCTTATTTCTGTCATGAAGTGTTTTTATCATTACAGTTTGCTTAACACATGCTTTTGAAAATACATATTCCATATTCTTACCATGTGCTGAGTAACAGCTTTAAAGACATTCCATGTCCCAAAGTTTAAATCTTTTTTTTTTTTATCATTAGTTACTTTGCTTTGTAAAAAATAAATTATTTCTAACCCAAAACATAGAGTCCCAGATTTGAGCACAAGCTGCCCCACATTAGAAAATTCACAAATTCTTAAACGATTTGGCACAAGGAGCACTAATTTATGTGCCATTTCTCCTTTAAAGGGGTCATATGATGCGATTTCAATTTTTACTTTCTCTTTGGAGTGTTACAAGCTCTTGGTGCATAAAGAAGATCTGTAAAGTTGCAAAGACTAAAGTCTCAAATCAAAAGAGATATTCTTTATAAAAGTTAAGAGTTAGCCACGCCTACCTAAAACGACTCGTTCTAACACGCCCCCACATGTCTACGTCATGATGTGGGAAGATTTGGCGCTGTGGATCGCCAGATCGGCTTTCACTGTGGACGACGCGGAGTCCAGCCCGGGGTCGTCACATATGGTTGCCGCAAGCCCTCCGGACGCTCCTTCGTCGAATCCGCCGGCCGCGCCGTTCTCAAGCCCGCCTCCGCATACTCTAGGCCGCGGCTCACTCTAGGCCTCCGTGTGTGGTGCTGTGTTTTGTTGTGAAAGCGAAACTACTTTGTTTGGTCTTCCAAAAATGGACACGACTAGAAATCAGTG